TTGTCGAGAAGATCAACCCCAACGCCTACCGCCTTCGGCTTCCGTCTCACATTCGTACTTCTGACGTTTTTAACGTCAAGCATTTGGTGCCGTTCGTGGGTGACAATTCGGACGGAGACGAGACCGGTTCGGATTCGCGGCCGAATCCTTTCCAACCGAGGGAGGATGATGGAGACGAGACCGCGATAGCATTTTTAAATAAATATGATCGTCTTCGTATCTAGTATTTTATTTTATTAGTTGTCTTTTATTTAGAATTGGGCTTTCTTTGTTAATTGGGGGTTATTGGACCTTTATTTATTGGGCTTTGCAGTAGGAGTAAGTATCTGATGCACATAAATAATCGTCTCTCATTTGGAGAGGGCAGACTTGATGAATAACAATTGAAATTTATCGTAAGAATTGTTCTTGTTCTTCCTGCTCATACAACGCTCTACATCAGGATGTAAAAAAATTGTTTACATGTTAAATTTGGCAAAAACAGCATAAAAATTGACGTTAGTCATTTTGAAACTTCTGAATTTCTTTAGAAATACGCAAAACCTCTATTTTACCTACCTTTATTGTGTGCGGTCTCCTGATGGCAATTCAAAGATGTCTGAAATTGTCTACTGAATTTTACAGTTTGTTTCTCACGTGACATGTATGATTACTATGCTGTGCTCTGGGGTATGATGCCATATTTGCAGTTGTGAAGATCAAAGTACAGTTAGAGGAATTCAAGACTTACTGTGCAAATCTTGAAATTTGATGGGCTTGTGACTTCAATGCTAAGATCATCAGGATTGTCCGACCATATTATATTTCCTTTGATCACCAACTTTGTAGGGTCAACATAAAATAGCTTCGGCTTATTTGTGAGGATAAGCTGCACTTTCTTTTTCGTTAGTTTCTGCAGCTTCTTGACCATGGAGATCATAATAACGGATTCACCAGGCTCTAAAAACAATTTCCTGTTCAAAACCGTGACAATAATTATTAAAAACAAAACGAACCCAAGCATACCAAAAAGGGAATGAAAGATCACAACTAGATTCTGCTCCATCTACCCAAAAAAATAAATAAATAAAAAGAAATATCCAGGCTAAATAATCATATTTTTTCTTAGTTTCTTCTTTTATGCATTTTTTCTTTTCTTCTTTTTCCCATTAACATTATTTTATTTTGAGTTTTCGGAATGAAAAACTGAGAGCTCTCAGATCCAGAGAGTCAGCAACTAATGAAAGACAGAAGGTTAACAAAATGATACACCAGCAATTTTAACTGGTTTCCAGGAGAAAACCTTTATGCACTCTTAGAAATATGATATTATCAAAATCTTATGGAAACAGACACGCATTAATACTCAGTATATCTTTCATAATCAGTTCAAAAACTACTGTTAATGAAGATGTCGCATGAAAAATCGTCGCAGCATTTAAAAGTATGATTAGCCAATTGAAGTAATTACTACAAACGGAAATCCAAAAATTAAACAAGAATATTTTTGCAATAGCAACAAGAGAGACCTTGCGTCAAGTTTAAAATTATTATCCTTGAATCAATAAAGATAATATTGGAATAAGTAGACATTACTAAAGTTTAATTCTAAAGTCGAAGCCCAAAGTATAATCAGTACCATTTTGAATCAAATGAATCAATGGACGCTAGTCTAGTGATGCTACCAACTTCCGAAGGTGATGCAAAGCCACCATTTGCATCATTTAATATTAACGAGCCATCACCAACATGTGACGGGTTCCAAGAAGGTTCTTGATCTTCGCTTGAAGTCGACCGAGCCTGGATTAGTAATGGACGGTAAACAAAAAGAGCAAGGAGTTTTCGTTTTTTCTTCTATTATGAGTAGAAAGTACTTATTATAAAAAGTACTATATAAATAAATCTATTATGTAAAAATAGCATTTACCATTACTCTTTAGGAGGAGTTTCTGTTTTTTCTTCTCTGAGAAGGAATAATCCCAAATAATACAGTCAGCCTAGTTACTAGTTACATAAAGAACCTGATTATGCTCTAAAATTACCAATAAATAATAATAATAATAATAATA